CTCCTCTCATCTCTGCCCAAAAACCTTAATCCAATGTTCCTAAATTAGAGACCATTGTTGAAGAAGGATCCAACAAGTTTGGCCTAGTGCACAACCACAAGTTGATGTATCTTCTTCATGTGGTTCTTTCTATTGTTTCTTACATATTGATAGACAAATACATCATTGCTTGAATTGTAGTCCTTTTCACACATATCATATCCCTTCTTTGATGGACGAAGAACCCTTTTGTTGTTTTGCCTCAAAATAATCCCAACCGTTTGATCATTTGATAACTTGGAGACATGATCTAATTGCTATGAATATTTCGGGACAGCAAGACAGAGGAGGTGAGATATGTGTCTATGAATTTGGTTGAGATTGTACCTACCCTTTCAAATCTCTCCAAAGACATTCATTCTATAAAAACAGACACATTTCTTGAAGAAAAGATCTAACTAGTTTGATGTTGTGCACATCATGTTTCGTGATCTTGTGTTTCTATCTTTTTTTTTGTATAGCTAAATAGATATGTTCTTAATTGATGTCAACAAGATTGTAAAAGGGATAAGAGCGATGTGAGCTGCAAGAAAATTAGATATGGAGAAGTGTACTAACAGATTATATGCCCCCACAAGGGTTAGGTGTTTCTAAAGATAGCATCTTAAAAATAAAAATAAAAATAAAAATAAAAAATCCCATTCTATTCATAAATATATATAGCAATAAAAGAACTTTGGTTTTAATAAAGTAACATACAATTAATCACAAACAAGATTAAACTAGAATAAGGCTGCAAAAGACAAAATCAAAAACTTCTTGAGAGCAATGCAAACAAGTTAACGAGAAAGCTTAACAGCTTCTTTAGGCACAAAAAATATTTTACACAAAATCAAGTTGTCAATGGAGTCTAAAACGCAATATGAAGCAAGGGATGATATCAGCAAAGCTCACTTTTTCTTTCCTTCCATCAGCAAAACAAGATTAAGACAGTCAATATGTATGTAAATAGCATTCTATTGAAAAGCAATCCAAGCCAAGCAAAGTCAACAATCACAAATTAGAGATGCTGGTTATAAAAGAAATATCACCCTAACACGCGACAAAACCAACCCAACTCCATGAGTTTTCAACCTTCCAAGGGTCCCGTTTGATAGAGTTGTGGAAAATTGATTATAGATTATAATTTAACAGATTATAACTTATAGCTGTGAACATAAGCTGTGAACCTGTTTGGTGCAGCTGTGGGGTTATAGATTTAAACAACAGAGTAGTGTTTGGTTAATAAGCTGTAAAATAACTTTTTACTGTGTAATTTTCCATTTTGCCCTTATATAATATAAAAATGATTATTTTGTCATTTTTTCAGTTTTAATTTTAAAAAAGTTATTTCATTAATAAAAGTTAATATAATTAGTATCAATTAATACTAAAATTAATAATAGTATCAATTAGTATAATTTTTTTTCATTTTTTCATTACAAATTAATTAGTGTCAATTAATGGCTTAATTACCATCAATTAATACTAAAATTAATAATAGTATCAATTAGTTTAATTTTTTTCATTTCTTCATTATGAATGAATTAGGTGTCAATTAATGACTTAATTACCATCAATTAATACTAAAATTAATAATAGTATCAAGTAATATAATTTTTTTTTTCATTTTTTCATTACAAATGAGTTTGGTGTCAATACTAATTAATATAAACATACTGAAATTAGTGTCATTATAAAATTAGTGTAATTTATTTTGTCAATTATATTTTTTCATTTAATAGAAGTTATTTCATTTTTTTATTATTTTGTTTTGTTTTCATTAATATCAATTAGAACCATTGTTTTTATTTTATTTTATATTATTATTACAATACCAAAGAAAATACCAAAGAAGTTATTTAATTGAAATAAATTTATATTGATATTAACTGAAATAAAATTGTGCAATTTATTTAATTTTATTTAATTTATTAATTCATTACAATCAATATCTATGTATTTATATTAATGTTGTGATGTCATTACATATTATTTTTCTTTATATTAATTTCAATTAGTTATTTAATAGAAGTTATAATATTTTTCTTTGTATTTCATTTTTTTTCTTCAATTTTAATTTTTTTTTTAAATTGTGATTCTGTTTTTATTATTATTTTTTTTCATTGCAATTAATAATATAACAATTGTATTTCTTTTCATTAGTGGAAGTAAATTGTATTTTTTTTAATTGAAATAAAATTGTGCAATTTATTTCTTTATTTCAATTGTGCAATTGTGCAATTTATATCAATAATTGTGAAATAAATTGTGTAATTTATTTAATGGATATAAATTACACAATTTATTTCAATATTATTTGAAATATTTTTTAAAAAAATTAAATGGAAGTTAATTGAAATAAATTGTTTTTTTTTCATTACAATTTTACAAAACCCTAGATCTAAGGAGTCGTCGCTGTTGCCGCCGCCGCCGCCGTCGGTGGTCTGTAAGAAACCCTCTCTCAGCTCATCCATCTCCTCTACCACCATGCAAAACCCTTGATCTGAGAAGCTTGGCATCGCCAAAGCCATGGAAGAGGCAGACGAGGCGACGACATACAAACATCAGAACCACCAATCAGCTCAGTCTTTGTCTAATCAGTCTTCCTTAAGGTAAAAAAAAGCCCGTTTGCCAGATGAACTCTGTAAGAAAATTTGCAACAAATGTAAGATTACATCAAGTAATCCCCATCCAGGCCAGCAACTATAACAATTTTGCCATAACAATTAGCAGCCTTGTTGATTTCATATTTGATTCTCCGAAGAAGAATAGTAGTTTTACCGGCAAACATGGCCCGACAATGACATGAACCTCACCGGAAGGGCGGTGAGACATACCCATCTGCTCAGAGAGGTGGATGACTGTTCTTCTCGGTCGCCAAAGAGGAAAGGAGAGGAGAAGAGGAGAGAAGAGTGTGAGAGGCGAGAGTTTTTAGGTCAAGAGAGATCAAAGGGTATATATAATGGAAATTTCGTAAATAATGAAGTTTGGGAGGGGCATTTAAGTCATTTAACCCAGTTGAATTACCTACAGGCAGAGAAGAAAACAATACATCAACAGTCTTTCGGATTTCACAACAATTAAATATGAACCAAACCGATGTGTGGCTATATTTGTTAGTATTTCTCTTGGTTGATATATTTGTTAGTATTTTTGTAGTGTTTTTATCTAATATGACAGTATATTTGTTCCAATAAAAAGACTTGAGTAACATTTTATATTAAATTTGACATAAAATTTAACAAAGTTATAATTAAGTAATGGATTCAACTATTAAATGGAATTGAAATTTTAAAAGATCTATCCAAATAGAACAAATTTTCAAACACCACAAAAATAGAAATATATATAAAAAATTATATTTAACTATTATTTTGACACAACAGAAATATATAGAACAACATACTGATAATCTGAAAATCTACAATACAAACCAATCAAACAAACAAATAGATCTGAAAAGATGGAATAAATATCACCTCCTTTTGCCCAAAAAAAACCCCAAATCAATGAATGAAATCAACAAAAAACGAATTAGAAAATAGTATGATATTTGGAATCAAAACCAAGGGCTGATTTCAACAAAACTCAGAATCTTAGAGTAGAAGAATAGAAGAAGAGAAGAAGAGAAGGGAATAATATACCTCAGTCGCCGCCGCCACCGCTGCTTGTCGCTCGTCGCCGGTCAAAGGATGGAGACATATTCCCTAAATCGAGGGGGGGTTGGCTAAAAGGGCATATTCCCTAAATCGATGTGTATATCTAATATGTATATCTATATATAACAAAACATAGGGTTTAGGGTTTCAAATCTTACTTTTTGGTGGAGATCAATGGAAAACAGGGACGATCGCCGGCAATCTTCGACGTGTGGAGCAGTTCTTTGTCGTTCAACAGTGAGAGGAGAGGAGAAGAGGAGCGCATCGTTTGAGAGGAGAAGGGTTAGGTCTGACCTCAGAACTGTGTTTATATAGTGGCATTTTCGTGATTTCTTAAGTTTTGGAGAGGCATTTAAGTCATTTTGTCCCTCCAAAAACAGCTGCGCGCTTAAGCTGTAAAATTAAGCACCCTTGGAGCCATGGTTATCAGAATCCCGATCCGGATCTTACGATCCTACGATCTATTTGAGTGCAATCGATCCGGATCGTGTAAAAAACTCCTTATAGGTAGGATCTTTCGATCCTGGTAGTGGGATCTTATAGGATCGTGGAATCCCGATTCGAATCCGATCCTATCCGATCCAATTTACAAGTCTTGTTTTGTATTGTATGACATATTTTGTTGTAAATTTTATATTTGTTGTCTAAATATCAATTTATATTGTCAAAATAAATAATAAAAATTAAGTAGTATTGAATCAAATAGACTAAGAAAAACAAACTAGGAAACAAACATTCAAATGTTGCGGTAATTTAAGAAAATTAAATAGTCGGAAAAACAAACTTAGCTTTAGCGGAGTCTAAGAAGGGTAAGATGATTGTAACTTTATCCCAATTTCTAGAGAAATTATTTTTGTGACTCGAATCCGCTCCACCAGGGATGCTAACGACAAACCTTATCATTCGACTAAGCTACTCTTTTGAGTTCTTAATCTATTTTCATATCCAATTTTGTTAAATATTTTTTCTTCACTTTTTATGCATTATTGTACATTGTAAAGTATTTTATTATAGAATTTTTCTTCTTCTTCACCTTCTTTTTTGATAAAATACAGAACTTTTACCATCGAGTTTTCTATTGCATAATATTATATGTACATTTTACATGGAGTACTATATTTTTCACAATATCTTCACTTCTTTTTAATAAAATATAGGTTTATTTTGTGTATACTTTATAAGAAATATTTATTTAAATTAAATTATTATGTAATTTGTCTTTTTCGGTAGGATCTTACGATCCTCGATCCGATTCTACGATCCGATCCTATAAACACCTCCAACAATCCAACGTAGGATCCCGATTTTAACAACCTTACTTGGAGCAACGTTTACATTTAAGCCGAAAATGGCTTAAATTAAGCCATAATCTGTGCCTTATAAGTTTTACCAAACACACTAATATAGCTTAATTTAAGCCAAAAGCTTATTTAAGTTGAAAAAAAAGTTTTACCAAACACCCCCAAGAACCATCTACTCCATAATCTCTGAAGAAGCCTACAAAAATGAAGCCATAATTAACAACATTACTCCATTCATTTATACAAGTAAATTTCCTTGCACCTTGAAGAAGAAAATTATTATGTCTCTTTAATTAGCTTCGAGGGGATTGCTAAAAGAAATTATCTTCACAGTTAAAAGTAACTTTTCCTGAGCAAATTTTTTTCGACAAAATAAAGTGTCAACTTGCCTATCTGCTACAAAGAGAAACCAAGAGGATCAAGATATTGTGGGGGCATCGGCATGGATTCTCCTGTCATTGTGTGGTGTGTTGTCATCTATGAAAAGAGCAGTTTGAAGTCAAGTCAATGTTTCTTTTCCATTACTTCAGTGCATTCTCTAACAAAACAACATCCTTTCCTGTAGAATTTTGTTTTCCTTTTAAAATTCAATGATTGATTATAAACAAAATATGATTTAACAATTTCCACAACTAAAAAAATACATAACAAAGTACATATAGTGCATCCAAGTTAGACATGTTTCAGCTTAACTCTGTTAGCTCAATAATTCATCTAATTTTAAATTAAAATATCCAAATAAGCATAATTTGCAACTGTAAATACCTATGAAGCACTGACACGTCCCTAGGCTCTGCGTACGAGTGTCGGACACTGACATGCGTCAAACACGCGGTAGACACGTGTCCAACACTCTCTCTAATGTCTCTTTTTTTTTTTTTTGAAATCTTCCAGTCTGACACGCCATGGACATAGCGGGACACTTTCCAGACACGCCTGAGGTGGATCGAAAAGCCCTAACTGTTGGAGAGGAGACAGAGAAAGAGAGAAGGAGATCGACGGAGACAGGGAGATCGAGGGAGGAGAGGAGACAGAGAAAGAGATCGAGGGAAAGAAGCCTAACCTGTTTCAGATCAATCCAAGAAACTGAGGTATTCTGCTTCTTCTCTTCTTCTCTGGTCTTCTTCTTCTTCTCTTCATTTTCTTCCTCTCCTCCTCCCTTTCGTCTCTCCCTTTTTTGATTCTGTCTGTCTTTGCCTTTTTGACTTCACTCTCTCTCTCCTCTATTTTCTCTTTTATATTTTTTTTCAACGTTTCTCTCTCTCTCTTTTTTTTCTTTTTTCTTTTTTCTTTTTATACTTATTTTTTTTGTTAAACTTAAAATTCATAAAATAAATTATTTTTATTTAAAAAAACTCTTTTTTTATTAAAAAAATTAAAATTATGTTTATTAATTTTATTATTATTGTGATTGTATAAGAATTAATGATTTTATTTTTATTTTAGACATATAATAAACAAATAAAATTATATATATTAAACGTGTCCCAAGCGTGTCGTGTCCCCTATTTTTTGAAAAATTGCGTGTCCGAGTGACCGTGTCGTGTCTCGTGTCCGTGTCCGTGCTACATAGGTAAATACTTACCAAATCATCATAATTAGCCCCAAAAAATAATTTTTTTACAGGAATCAGACCATCAATTTTCACCAAATCAACACCACCAAGTTCACATACTTCTTCAATCTTTTAGTCATATCTTATAATCAAGTAACATACAAGTAGAACTCAGAATTTGCACAATCAATGCAAAAACGTGTGCACAGAGTAGATATATAAACAATAAATGCACAGGTCACCAGTATAATCAACGCCACGATAGCATGAACCGTTGATTTACTGCCACAAGACAGAGTGGAACATATACCCCTTGTTTGATGTGCTTTATAAAGGAACATAATCTATGTCTGATAGACAAAACAAAAGCTAAGACAAATAGCATTTTCTAGTAAAATAAATTATGAATGGAAAATAAAATTAAGGTAGGTACTCTGACAAGCAGATTAGCCAGTGATTAATGAAGAACACTCCAGCAAACATCAACTGTGGGGCAAAAAACCATAGTTGTCAAATCGAGATTCGTATTGTGAATCGAAATGATCTCGTACCGAATCGCGAATCGAATCGAATCGTGAATCATAAAGATTCAGTCACTTCTTCTAAATTATTTAAAAACATATATTTACACATTTAGATGTTAAATATATCTTATGAATATAAAATATTTAAACTTAAATCAATAAAAATGTTATTTTGAATGATAATCACGTAGTTTAATAAGTAAAAAGTTAACAAATGTTCCAATGTAAGATCACCATCTTACCTTTTTTTCTTTTTTAGATATTTCTTATCAACCATTCTTAATAAAAATAATAACCAAATAGACAAACTATCAATTTCTAAAGTAACAATAACTAACAACGATATTGATATTTGGACAATAAGCATACATACTTTTCTAAGTAACAGTGAGCAAATAATAAGAAAAAATCATTTAGAATCTTTTTTTTTAAAGCCTAAAATATTTTTAAAAGATGTAATATTTAATTTAATAAAATAGCAATAGATAATTCATAGTGTAACTTTAATCTTAAACATTTTTAGAAGATATATTACGATTTTTTACAGGAAAAAAAATAATGAGAAGAAAGGTTAAAAATATGTTAGGTCTGACTAAATCTAATTGGTTCCTATTAAAAACTTCATGATCACTAAAATAACAACAAAGCATGTATATATGCTGGTTATTTTCGTATTAAACGCTATTAGAAGTTGTATTATGTCATTTTTAATAAAAAGATGGAGGAAAAATAGAGTCGAAAATATGTCGGACACAATAATTTTAAAAATTGTATGAATCGTAAAAAGTGGATCGAATCGTGAATCGATTGTGAATCGTGCGATTCACTAGAGATTCACTTCCAAAATAGATTCACCCTTAGATTCGTATCGATTTTACAAAAATTGGGAATCGAATCGCGAATCGAATCGCAAATCGTAAGATTCTGATAACAGAGCAAAAAACTGATTACAAAATATTATTATGAACAATATAAAGCGTACCTGCAAGAGTGCAATGATAGTACCAAAAGAGTTAGACAAAAGTGGAGCCAAATCTTGAAATAAGTCTCTCTTCTAAACATATAAACAAAGAAAAACACAAGGCATGAGTAAAAAGGCATAGTACAAAACAATTCTCTCTTCTTTCTAGATTTTTTCCCCTTCTTGGTAAGGTACAAGAGGAAAGGGAAAAGTTGACACGGTAGAGACATGAGTAACAAGGCATAGTACAAAACAAAAGTTAGGCACTGGTATAGGGCTATCATATAGTAATACTAGTGGGTGGCACACACGATGTGTGTGCAATTTAAATAAGTAGGAATAAAAAAATAATAATGAAATTAATATTATAATGTGTACTTAGCTTAAGTGGTATGAGTCCTCGTACTTAAACCTATGGTCATGGGTTCAAGCCCTGCCCATCTCTTTGTTTAGTTTTTTTTTAAAAAATAAAAAAAATACTGCCACATGGCATGAGGAGAGTAAAGCTTCATGACACCATAAGAGGTGTTCACTTTATAATAGTATAGATAGATAGATATAAGGTGGCTTCACCCATTCAGAAATTAGGCCTTTTTGGAGGTGTTCTTATAGTTGCTGAGAATTACTTTCTCTGTGAGAGTGATCTTTAATGGCCCAAGTTCTTGATAGAACTGAATGTGCACGACCTTTAGTAGGTGGTCCAATGGACCATCAAAGTACTGTAGAAATCAAGAAAAATTTAATGTGTAGTAATTTCCTAGTTAAGTATTTAAATGGCATCGTTCTACCCAAACTTTTGTATTTGGGATTAAGATTATCAGTCTAATTGTTAGAATAATGTGGCCTTTAGACCACAAAGCTATTTCATCATCCACGATTACAAATTCCTTCTTGGATTTAAATAATTCAAAGCACAAAAGAATTTCACTAAATAGGACACGGATGAGCTACAAATGCAAATGTGTTCATCACCCACCAAGATTCAAACCACCGAGTAAATGAGCTTTAGCTCTAATTTTAGAACCTGGTTCGAACCTTCAATCCAATTCTTAATCAAAACCCTCAAGCCTCGAATTCGGGTACCTTGAATTGGTGTGAATTTGAAACTAAGATTTCATTAACTAAAAAGAAAATTTAACTTAATCAATTCAGCAAATTGTCACGGTATTTGACCAAAATTTTGACCAATGAACCAGTGGATCCATACCCAATATGTGTGAGAATCAGGAAACATATCAAAAGGATCATAGCCTTATCAACAGTCAAAAAATGACTTGATGTGGCACCAAAAGAACAAAAGAGAAAGAAAATATGGAATCAAATCCCAAATTAATATATCAATATTCAAAATCATATCCTAGTCCAATAAAACCCATTACATAATGCTACCAATGCCTTTTTGATCCCCATAAGTAATAAAACAACATGAGAAAAAGAAAATAGGAGAGAGTCATACCCTTTCTAGTTTGATGCCAATAAAGCCCCAAAATTCCCCTGTTTAATGTCAAACAGTGAGCAAAATGCAGAAAATAATTAGCCCCAAATAAAGTCTACAACTTGATAAGATCAGAACTCACCAAGGATCTTCTAACCTGTTGCTAGTATTTAAAGCAGCCTTCCAAATTTCATCATCTCGTTCTGCTGTTAGGCTTGGAACAAGCTGCAAGGATTTCAACTATCCCAAAAAATAATTAGCCCCAGCAACCGATTCAACCGCCCCACATCGAACTCATCAGCACATAAATCAAGCTCCCTCTATTCATTGGAAACCCTACTCATACCCTCCAAGCTCTCAATCTCACCTTTTCCATCCTCCACCATCGAATTCAACCCCCTCAATTCATACCCCAATGTCGAAAAAAGAGAATTAGGCGGAAAATCACCGTAGTGGCTTCGAAAAACTGGACCAATGTTGACCACATCTAGGGTTTTAGCTTCAAAAGATTGGGTAGATGATCGGAATTGAAATGCTTCGTAGTTGTGGGAGTGGATCAATTGGGCTTGAAAAGGGATCATGAGGAGGAAGAATGAAAGGAGAGAGAGAGAGAGAGAGTAGGGTTTGGGGGAATTGTGAAGTTAGGTGGTAGAGAACAGAGAGGAGGTGATGGAAGACTCACGCATGAAGGTGCGAAGGGGGTTTGGCGGCGGCCAGAGAAATTTGAAGAGAAAAATCAATAACCAAGTGGAAACAAACATACCTCAAGAATCAATAACAAACATACCTCAAGAATTGATAACAAACATGCCTCAAGAATTGAACTAAAATTTTTTCTAGATCAAAGCGAAGAGAACGAAACCCTTTCCCTTCGAACCATCGATCGTTGCCGTCGCCGTCGCCGTCGCCGTCGCCTTCGCCAAACCAATCTCGCCGCCGAAGAGAGAGCATTGTTCTAGGTCAAAGTCTTGCTGCCGAACCAATCTCCCTTTCAAACCCTCTTTATTCTCCCTCTCTTCTCCATTTAGCAATGCTGTGTTTGGTCGAGGGGTTTGGGGAGGGATTTGGAAAGGGAAAGGGAAAAGGTGTGTGAAACTATGTGAAATATAGGCATGATTTATTCACATTTCACCTACCTTTTCCATTTCCCTTTCCAAATCCCTCATCAA